GTCAGGTCCTTGTGAGCCTGAACTTCTTTTGCCCGGTGCGATTTTCAAGCTGCCAGATCCAGGACACGAACAGCAGTCAGCAGTGTGGGAGTCTAGTGCCAAAACTACTGCACCCCCTGCTAGCCCATCATTTATAACTTCAAAAAAAAAAAAAAAACCTGGCCAGAACTTAAACTAAGTTTACCTAGGTTGCCTCCTCTCCCATGCTCTAAAATGTCCCTTCCCGGCATTCTCCGCTCCATTAGATGGACTCCATTTCAACTTTCCATTTTCAAACTTACAAAGCATTTGTTCTTTTAAACCAGAGGATGTGCCTGTCCACGTGAGGCTGATCTCTCACCTGTGCTGGAACTCTAACCCCTTCTACTGCTTCAGAAATCGCTACCCCTTCAGGATCCTTAAACCTGTCTTCTCAATTAGGCCCCATCACCCACCCAGCGGATGTACATGTTCAAACTACTCCCATCCTAAATTGAAAAGCCCCCTTGACCCCATGATCATCCCCGGCTTCCTCCCCTTCCCTCTTTACAGTCAATGTCTGTTTCCCCCTTCTGAACTCACCCTAATATAGATTCCCTCTAGTGAAGGTGCTTTTGCTAAACTCACTAATGGCTCTAGTCTCTAAATCTGATTGGGAATAGCTTTGTCTTCTTCCTCATGTATCTACAGCTTCTGACACATAGACCGACTCTCCTCTTGAAACATTCTCTTTGGGGCCAGCAGGGTGGTTAAGGCGGCTGAACTCCACATGACCAACTGCATGATAAACACGCTGTCACATGTGTGTGCGTGCCCAAGATCCCAAGAGGAGAATGGAGGGAAAAGGACTATAAAGTAACCATACTGCTGGGGGATGCTTTCCCATTTTCCCCTCTCTTTTTCTGTCTCTCTCCAGTGAGCACATGTACCCTAGAACAAAAAATAAAAAGAAGCATTCTCTTTGATTTCAGGACAGCTCATCTTATTGTTGTAACTTTGCTGACTTTGTGACCTTTTTGCTTTGTGTTCACGTTTTCCCCTCGTTGGGAAATGTTTCTCAGATCAAGCCACGACCTAGCCCATGACACTGACGGAGTATTTGCTCTACCGGAACCTTTGCACTCCACATGCAGACCTCCCTAGCGATGCTTTGCTGCTTTCACAATCGCATTCAGAAACAGGGGCCATCCCTTTCCAGTTGCTGCATGAGACATATATCAGCAAAAAGGCCAGTTTTCCACTTTTTATTTTTTGCCAGGGGCTATGTGCACATGCCCAATGGAGGGAGGGAGAGAGAGAAAGAGGGGGGGAGGGAGAGAAGGCACTCCTGATGGGGTATGGTCATGCCACAATCCTTTCTCCTCCATTTGTCCCTTCCATCTGGAGGGACGCAGGCACACACGTTCTAGTGTATTTTTCAAGCCACTAGGTCAAGGGTTGAATCCATGATCAGCCATGTAGGATCTGGCTCCCTTAACCAGCGAGCTATGGAGTCGGCCCTACTCTGGAAATTTTCTTGAATTTCTTCAGAGATACGATATAGCAGCAACCCAGTGAGTGTGCTTAATCTCGGAGTTAACTTAATCTCATGAAATAAACTCAGTCACTTGAGATTGGAGACTCAATTTGGCGATAGCAGTTTTGGGCTGATTAAGACTCTATCCCTTTTCTCCTCTGATCAGGTTTCTAGTGGAGACATCACCTAGGACTTTGGGGCCTGGCAAGCACTTCACCACTCAAGTATCTCTCTGTCCTAGGAAGTTTTTGGATCGCCTCTAGGCCCTGCAAGTGGTGTGTGTGTGGGGGGGTGGGGGGTGGGTGGGTGTGGGTGCATGCACGCAC